ACCCTAACCTTCTACTTGAATGAAAACAATGTCCCCACTGATTCTACGTACATCATGACAGTGTTCATGACGACGATAATGATTAGGATTATGGTAATGATGGTAAGCAGGATGAGGTAAATGACGATGACAGCGATTATGAGGCGATGATGATACTATATGAAAGAACAAATTATACAAAGTGATTTGAATGTAAGGTTATATCTTCTGTTAAGAAGACAAGCAGCTTTATGCAAGAGCATCATAGCCGAATGCGGAATGTGGTTAATCATTTTGTTGATAATAGGACTTGTCATTCGAAGCCTGCTACGTTTTCCTGTTGCACCGACATACTAGCTGGCCGTTTCTCGTTACTACAAGCCTTCACTCACCATCTGAGGAGTAGACACTTTTTGATGCCTTTAATCGCTTAAAAATCTCATACACTGCAAATCTTCCGTGCCTTTTCCTCCCACAATGAACCATCCAGTAAAATGGTGGATGGTAGTTGAAATAAAGTGGAAAATTAAGCTTTATGTATTTCGCTCCCATTTGTCATGGACAAGTAAATTTTAGCTTATGCTTATTATTTTTAAGTACAAATAGAGAACATTGGCATTGAGGATATGTAATGCAATTCCAGATATGTCATAGATAACAACTCAGCTCTTTTTAAATTATTAAACAGCTTTTACATTCAGGACGAGCCACATCATCATTGTTTGTTGAAAGAATTGGCTACGACGATGGGCATTCACACCGGAGAAATAGTGGACTTTGATTTGTGTGTTATTGATACGCAACCCGCGGTAAATTTGTTTCGTTTGATATTTTCCTTATAACGATGTATTTGAAGTGTCTGGGCGGCCTGAAAAAGGAGTTCGTCTTTGGTGGTCACTTGGATAATCTGGTGGGGACATTTTGCGCCATTACTGCATTGATCAAAGCGACGGAAACTGGTCTTGAGAGCAACAAAAATCCGGCGGTTCATATGGTCGCTGCTTTCGACAACGAGGAGGTAAGTCCTATCCAAGTGTTAGCGATGGCCGGTGTTCGTTGACGTGACTCTGTCTGTAGTGTGGAAGCGAATCAGCCCAGGGCGCAAGGTCGGCGTGGATGCAATGGATTCTGCGCCAGATAAATGCCGATTCATTGAACACGACGGCATTCGAGCAGTCGATAGGGAACTCGTTTTTACTGAGTGCCGACGAGGCGCATGCCGTAAACCCAAATTACGTGTCGAAATATGAGGCGAACCATCAACCAAGGTTCCACAAGGGCGTCGTCGTGAAGATAAATGCCAACCAGCGTTATGCGACGACCGCCATAACCAGCTCGATGCTCAAGGACCTAGCGAAAATGGCCAAGGTCCCATTGCAGGTCAGTAAAATCTTGATGAGTAATAATAAGTATTCAGTTTTCTGACGTTTTGCTGCTGTTCAAAAAACACGCAAGTTGTAGGTACGTTTGATATGCTAGAAATGGATAGAATAAATGACATCTATTCGTATAGTCTGACTTGTCGTAACTATTTGGGGTCAACGGTAATTTTATCGGGGTAACAGTGGAGACGTAGAAGGTATATACATATATTCCAAGGGTGCTTGGGCTTCAGTATGGATTATTCGAAGTTTCCACCCGCCGAGCACAATCATGCCAGGCCATTTTGTCCTTGGCGGTTTGTATCCACGTCGTTCCCGCAATTTTTTCTACGTACGTCGCCACCTCATCGGAGGTCGTCTGAGTCCTCTCTCATGGCTCGCGCGATGTCTTGCACACCACTCATTTTGCGGAGAGTTTTATTGTCGATACGGTCACGAAGAGACATTCTTAGCATCCTTCGTTCCATTGCTCTCTCCGTCACAGCCAGGCCAGTGTATTTTCTTCTGCTTTTGTCGGTGCCCACGTTTCGCATCCGTACGTCAATGCCTTCAACACTACGTTGTTGAAGGTGCGATCACGGTCTTTCTGGTCTGATACTTTAAAGACATCCATGATGCTGTAGAATTTGCGCCATCCGGCAGCCCATCGACGTAGAATCTCCGGTAGGAGACCACAACGCATATTCAATTCTTGGCCCTAGAAGACGCAGTTGTTGAGTTCTTCCAAATCCGCGTCATCTACCTGTAAATTGGCCTTGAGCATGCCGACACTTTGCATTGAGCTTGAGATATATATCAAGAAATTGGACACCGCTTAGATGACTGATATCGAGCTATTCAGGGAACCATGTCATATCAGTATCTGTCGAGGGGCACGCCAATGAGATACCAACGCACTATCGTTTGTGATTATTTCGCCGCGCAGCAGTTGCACGCGATACCAAATCCCGTGGTTTCCAGAAGAGTTTTTTACCATTGAATTTGAGGTTAACCTTTCCAAGACGGAATGAACGAGCATTGCCCGAAGGCGTTGTCTCTACGAATACGAACTCAAAAGTGACCAGCTATGACTTAGCCGTAAGGTAAACCGCATGATCTCTTGGACGGGTAAATAAACAAATGAAGAACATCAGCATAAGTCGGTTGTAGCTATTGAGACATCGTTATTCTGCAGTTGGCTGTCCATGTGGGCGAAGAGACATAATCTATGGCGCCTAATGTTGACCTGCTGCTAAAGCCAAGGAGAACAAATTGGTGATCACAAAAGATTTGCTAGGTATCCCTCGGGGTCACAGGCGCAAACAGAAATTTTGAATAACAGCGTTTTGGATAAGCTTTATATTGTTCACCTACCAATCGTCTGATCCACAGTGAGCGGAGGCAGATAAAGATGTGTATTGATAGTGAGCACTTTAAAGTTATCATGATAATGATACATTGGAATGCTCAGTTATTCTCTTCCTTTTCTGTGCCATAATCGGGTATATTTTGTTGCATCCTTTGGACAAATTCAATGATTTTTGGCTAGTGTTATTTTTCCTGACGAATGTTGTTGTAGGCATTTGTGGTCCGTAATGATTCTACTTGTGGTACGACCGTTGGACCAATCCTCGCTGCAGATTTGGGCATTGAAACGGTCGACGTTGGTACCCCTATGCTTTGCATGCATTCCATTCGCGAAGTCACGGACACTACGGGCTTGTATTATGCTCAGCAGTTGTTTAAAGTAAGGTTTCGCCGTTTTCGGGCGTTTTATGCTAATTTATGGTATAAGGAAACAACGTAAAGTTTTTTCCGTTACAGTCTGTTAGCCTTCATTTCCTGTTTTGTCGTGTAGCTGTAGATATTAGTTGCAAAATGTGTTGTTCCTTGTTGATGGCTCCTAAATGGAGATCGGTACTGCAATGAGATACGAACAAATCTGTTTGGGCACCCTCTTCTCACGATCCTTATGACGAGCGGCTGATTCCCCTTTTGATACTGACTAGCGGAAGTGCCTTATTTTTGGCAGACAGCACTTATGGCAACCTAAGGATTAGAACTGTTCCCTTTTCTTCACGTGAAGTGTTATTCATTTATTTCTCTCAGAAGGACGAAAAAATGTGAACCGACCAGGATTCGAACTCATAGTCTTTCGATTACTACTCTGGTGCTTTACATTTCCCAACTATTATAGGCAATCGTTAAATTTAATATATGGATTTTCTAACTGCAGCTAATGGGAGATCATGAGGTGGAACACGCAGTAGCTCTGCTTACATGTGTTAGTTCATTCGCTACTTTGTTCTGATTAAGTAACTTAATTCTTTATGCTCAACATATAGAAATTTACTTTCGATTGAACTCTGTGGGATCTAGACAAATTCCTTTATTCATGCCTTTGACTTGAGCTTAAGTTTGGTCTTATAAATTTCATTCGTTATTTGACCAAATATTCTACGTACACTAAGAGCAATTTACTATCTCGGGACACAACGTCAGCAGTTCGTGCAAAATTATTCTCTTTCTAGAATGCTGCTGCTGCGGTGTTCAGCTTGGTCTTATTAATTAACTGTCTGAGTAGAAGTTGTCCCGTCTGATTTCCCTCTTATTCTTTCATCATGATTGTTAATAACTTGGCCATATTTCTCGTTAAGTAAATGAGTTTAAATGATACAAAGATTATCCATTATATGTTTTAGACATATTTTGAAAGCTTCCCTGAGGTGCGCGCAAAATTCGTATCATAGGAAGTTCAAGAAGTTCGCGTAAAGATGAAACCTGATCTGGAAAGATGATTGTTTGATGTTATGATAGTTTCGTTAATTGACTTTGTCTGCTTACAGATTGTTAAGCGAACGGCTTATCTATTGAATGTTTGCTTATACTATCAGTGACCTTTGGTACGTTCTGTCTTCAGCGCGGTGTGTAATTCTGTAATGTTGATTGCTCAAGTTGACGTTTCTGATACTGATTGCTAATGCTGTTTGTTCCAATACCCCGATTAATTCTAATGAAAGTAGTTCAACAGTTGCTGTTTCCGTGATGTCGCGAAACGACTTTCACCGCCACCAGTTTACTAACATGGTGCATGTTAAAATTTTAATATTGAAAATTAATTTTTATAACGTCTATGAAATTAATGCTAATTTATGTTCGGAATGTCGCAGGCGCGAAACATTTATCTGCAAGTATTTTATGCTAGAAACTGACGTTTTGAATACAACCTGGTTCGTCATAGGTGAGAATGTAATAACCATCCTGGTTGTCCTTAGAGTTACGATAAGAAGAATGTTTCTGTTTCATCTGTTCTTTTTATAATCTCCCAAATATTCATGGAAATTAAGTTTGGATTTAAAGGCAACGAAACAGTGAGATTAATTACCATCCAGTAGTCGTAGTAGAGAATGATGACTCAGAGCAACACCAGTGCATTTGAGCTTCCAATCTTAGTTTCTTGATTGCCGAGGAAAGATGAAATATCGTTCAAGGCTGCAAATAAATGCTGAAATTTAAACATAGAATCATAATACTAATGTCTTGAGTAATAAAGATAAAAACGTCAGCGAAATATAAATGAAAATATGGTTTTCGAAAGACCTGTAACTACTGATAGACTGATGTGAAAGTAATATGCAGGATCCTTTGACCCACTATTTCGGAAAAAATGCTAATCATTATTCGGCAGCAAACAATCATAAGAAATGTTAATATTTAACCAACTATCGGAGAAGGAGCGCCAGCTAAAGTTTTATGCACAACTTTCGGCAAAACTGTCGGATTGCGTGGTGATTTAAGATAGGTGATCTTCTAGGTAAGATTGATCTGCTAATTTTTTTTGACTGGAAAAACCTCAAGGTCTTACCATATAAAATCTGATTTATATCAAGAACATTACTAACAGAAAAAGTAGTATCGACAACAAGCTGACGATTTCACATGATACAAAATATTTGAGTAATAGACAGAAAACTGATATCACACGTAATTCAGGAATGGCAAGAAGTTGCTTCCTATGTTCGAGTAGATAAAAATACATCAACACAACTTCAGTAGTGCAGCTTGTTCTTATTTTTGTTAAATCAGCCGATATTCGTCTTGGTAAAATCGGGACAAAAATCTGCCTAACCCCAAGATACTGAAATTGTGGAAAAGGAAGCAATATATCTATGTCCTTGGAGTACGTTGACTGCAGACTGACGAGGGACAAACAAAGTTCCGACGCGATATGCATTGGCATTGGCTACGAGCAACAGATTGCTCAAACTGCGGAAAAACAAAGATTTTCGTAGTTGCAGCGAATCGCAAATATACATGTTTTTTAATCTAAGCCTCTTTCTCTGTGGTTTGGCTACAACAGTGCTTAGTGAAGCTGAAAACAGAAATCTGCAAACGAACATTTTAAAATTAATATTAGGGGATTCAGTGGTGCTATCTAGTGTTAAAAACCACTGTAGGAGAGAAGGTGGATTATTCAAATTAAGCGACCTACTGCCCTCAAACTCAATGTTTAACTGACGGAACGATTTTCAGATAATAGATGATAATCCGTTGTCTAAGCGAATACTGAATATAAGGCCTGTGGCAGCCAGAAAGACTTCCAAAGAGAAGGGACTCGTGAAACTTACATGGCATCATAATACTGAGGTAACTGAGGTAATGGCATGAATTTTTTTCGGTG